GGCGCCCCCGGAGGGCGCGCCGCCCGCCGGGGGCGCCGCCTGGCCGCCTCCCAGCCCGCGGACCACCAGCGCCGCCACGCCCACTGTACTGCCGCCTACGGGGGAGGGGGATTTAGTTCAATATTACCTTGTTATATTACCTACCAATTATATACAATAACTACAAGTCTGATTAAAATAATTCTTTTTGTGTTGGATAGCGCATTTACCGAGGATGGCTATAGGCTATAAAACGTCACGCTACGACCAATAGGCGCTGAGCAGAGCGTGTGAAACCGCGCGGAAGTAGCTAGTATGAATGGTATGAATACATACAGTGAGCGAGTGCCCAGACGACGTCCCGTATGACGGCGAAGACAGCGTCCGCGTTGTTGGCCAGACACAGGCACAGCTGGCAGTGGCAGCCGAACCGGGCGCGGTACAGCCACTCCTCCGTCACCATCTCCATGCTCCTGGGGGGGAAGGTCTCTAATGAGAGTGATACCACCAACGACCAGAAAACCACAGTGACACACACACAGCGTTGTGTTCCATCTTGTGAGTGAGTATAGTGGAGGCCCAATTACCCCCCTTCCCCAATAATCATCAAATATCTAATCCCCAAAAGGCCGGTAACGCACTTGTAACGCCTCTGGTGTTCCAGGTGTCCATGGGCGACGCCGATTGCTTACCATCAGGTGATCCGTCTGCTCGTTTATCGGCTTATACCATAAACAAAAAAAGAAAACTTGCAACAGGCATTGATTAAGTCTGGAATAAAAACATAAAACTTTTGATTCCTTTAGCACGCGATCAAAGCCATTGTCACGACTCTAGTATGTGTAATTTTTTTTATATTCGACGGGCTGACATTTGTCCACTATCTCGCCTGGTGGTGCACGATGACGCGGTCTACGATTGAGCACGTCGTCCCATAAACAACCTATTCACTAGAGGCTTTAATAGTGTAGACCAGGGCCTTTATCCAAACGCCACTTTAGCGCTTGTCTACAGAGAGAGTAGAAAACTAAATGTATGGGGATGACACTGACAAGTGTCAAAATGTACATCAATTCCATATAATTTGGTTTTCTATTCTACATGTAGACAAGCGCTAAATGGCATTTGGCTACAGTTGCTGGTGTAGAATGTAGAGTGCACTAACATATCAGTCTCGATGATAGTGAACATGAGTGCCGAGATCTCGCACCACGAGTGGAACACGCCCAGCAACCACTCCGCCACCGGGGACCACGCCGCGCTCGCCTCGCCGCGCTCCGCGTCTGCGGGGGATACAAATATAATACATCACATCACATCACATCACGACTTCTATCTCCAAAGAGGTAGGCAAAGGTGTACATTATGCCACTGTTCAATGTAACACCCACTTTTCACTACTTGTTATATACCGGGCACAATTTCAGACTCCGTGCTACTACTGGGAATTTATAAAAACCCAGTAATACTTTACCCAACCGGGGAATCGAACCCGAGACCCCTCGCACTTGCGACCACTCGGCCAACGAGGCAAATGTTATTATAATAGGTACATAACATAACATCACGCCTTCTATTCCCGAAGAGGAAGGCAGAGGCAAATTATTAAGTGCAATGTTACATTCAAAAGCGACACTGATGGCTTTTTATATGGGACTAGCTTGTACCCGCGGCTACGCTCGCGTCACAAAAGGATAAAAAGCATAGCCTATGTGACATATACACACAGCGCCATCTATACCAATAATTTCGTTTTTCCTCGAGAATATCAATTTTTTCAGGGATAAAAAGTACCCCCTATTATTTAATCCAGACTTCTAACTTTACGTCTGCAAAAATTCAAAGCAATCGGTTTAGTGGTTACGGCGTGAAAGCGGAACAAACAAACAAACTCACTTTCCGATTTATAATATATTAAGTAAGGATTAGTCGGTAAACAAGCATGATCCGACATCACCTGATGGTAAGCATTAGGCGTTGCAAGTGCGTTACCGGCCTTTTGGTGATTAGGAATTTGAGGTTTGTTGGGGATTCAGGGATTGGGGGGGGATTGGGTAATTAGGCCTCCGGTAACCTCACTCACGCGACGATGCTTATCAAAAAGTGACCCGCCTGTTCTATTGACCCACTCTACCAATAAAAATACGCACCCATTCCGCAGACGTAGTGCAGTAAGGCGGCCTCCTCCTCGGCCGTCACCGATGTGTCGTCGAACTCTAGCACCTCGCTGCCAGACAGCCTGTGGAAGATGAAAATAATACATTATTGTATATTTTGACTGCCTCGTTGTCCTATTCCCTTTATTCTCGGGCCTTCGGACGGCGAGCACGAATGGCTCGCCGTCCGACCAGAACCAGACCCGAGCGTACGGCGCCGAGCGTTTCGCGCGCGCCTCAAAAAGCCATCAGACCACCGCAGACGGGCCCCAGTAGGGCCAGTGCCGATACGGAGCCGCGGAGAACCTAACGGGTTACCGGGCTCCGGCTCGAAGTGCAGGAGTAGGAACGGGGTGGTTTTTAGTCAGTAAGAGTCTGACACTCCCTCCCGCCTCGCCCAGGCGGGAGAAGTCATTCGATGATTTCCCCCCTTAAAAAAAATCCCTTTATTCTGAGTATACAAATACTTACATGTCAGTCTGTGGTTCTAGAGGGGAGTGCAGATCCTCCTCGGCGGGAATCTCTTCGTGAACACCCTCCTCTGTGGACGCGAGGAGCTAGAACAAGACGGCAACGATATAACAACTTGTCTATGTATTTTTTTTTTAGTATTTTTATGTGAATAACTATAGGATAGTTCCCTAAATTGTATTTTAATGTCCGTCTGGTAGGTTAATTTAAAACATTAGACACGTATTTTTTCTTTACTCACAATATTAAATACTTTCGACGATATATTGATTTGAAATATCGTCTATCATCCATTTTATCTAAGTATTTTAAATTTATACTAGAAGATAATAAAAAACGTGTCTAATATTTTTTGAATAACAAAAAATAACTGGCGAACCATTTCACTAATTATTTATTGTTTTAAACATTTTATTTCTTTGTAAAACTATTGTATTACCGAGACAGAACCATTTTACTTTGAGAAGAAAATGAAATGGATTCCAATAGATAAAACGTATATTTGCATGCCAATAGGCATGGCGACTATTTTTTAATTTTTTGTCCGTCTTTTAGATATTTTAAAAATCTTCGATACGTATTTTTTCTTTTTTCTCGTATCCAAAAAAACATGTAGATATTTTGAGTTAAAATGACGCGTGACGTCACAATTAGGTACGATTTCTCCGTAAGTGTGACGTCAACACCCCCCACTCCCTAACTTTAATGCGGAATAACTACGTACTCTTCTGTTAATTTGATAAAACAAAAAATACGTGTCTGATATTTTCGTGCGATCTTAATGACGGACTAATTACTTTTTTGATTTTTTTACCCTGTCGACACGCCTATTAAGGTAGCATGTACAAGAAACTTTAAAATTGTGTGACACCTAATAATTTTACTTGTGCAGTCAGTCACTAAGCTCAGTATGCTGCGCGACATCGCTGCGACCGCGCACGCTGCTCATGAGGAAGAACCCCTCTGTGGTTCAAAACTAGTAGAGCTTTTCTCGGTATATTAGTAATTTAGTATATCTCTAGATAGTTATTACAAAAACCTAATAATTGTACCTACATTCATCCTTACTAATATTATAAATCGGAAAGTGAGTTTGTTTGTTTGTTTGTTCCGCTTTCACGCCGTAACTACTAAACCGATTGCTTTGAATTTTTGCAGACGTAAATTTAGAAGTCTGGATTAAATAATAGGGTACTTTTTATTCCGGATAATATTGATATTACCGAGGGAAAACAAAAGTATTGGTATAGATGGCGCTGTGTGTATTGGTATATGTCACATAGGTTACTTTTTATCCTTTTGTGACGCGAGCGAAGCCGCGGGTAAAAGCTATTTGGAAATAAATAATGTATTCTGTTCTATTTATTGTATTCACGGTGTATTGCGGCCACCATCGACATACCTGCAGTATGTCCTCGTGTCGGATGGGGAAGTGCTCAGGGTCTGGAGCCGGAGCCTCAGCGCTCAGCAGCGGCAGGAGGAACTGGCCCATTGCTGGGGCCTCCGCCTGTACACAAATATAAATAAAAATGAAACCCGTTTCCCGTTGTCACGCCATAACTTGAAAACAGCTAGACTGATTTGGCTGATTATTTTTTTTTTGTTGTGTTTGTTATTGTCAGGAGAAGGTTCTTATGATAGAAAAAAATCCTGAAAATCCAACTAAAACGGGAGAAAAAGAGATTGCGCGTACGAAGTCGCGAGTAGAAGCTAGTAATACAATAAAAAATAGGGTAGTTTCCTAAATTTTATTTTAAACTGTCTAACACCAAGCGGTCACCGGTGACCGCAACCTATTGTTCTATAATTGTGTCTACAAAACCGGTACTCGACGAGTTAATTTTCGACTGGTATATTAAATTAAAATATTGGACACATGTTTTTTTCTTTTCTCACAAAAGTAAATACTTTCAACAATATATTGATTTGAAATATCGGGTATCATTCATTTTAAGTATTGCAAGTTTATACGAGAATATAAGAAAATATGTGTCTAATACTTTTTCATTATTTAACTGATGGACTATACTATTTATAATTTTTGTACCCTGGCAACTACCCTATTATTTGAAGACTACGAGTAAGCCGCGGAGAACTTAATAGGTAGCCGGGGCTTTGGCTCGAAGTGCAGGATTAGGAACGGGGTGGTTTTTAGTCAGTAAGAGTTTGACACTCCCTCCTCCCTCACCCAGGCGGCAGAAGTCATTCGATGATAGTCCCTCACGACAGTATATCCCAATCATATAGATGGTTGGCAGGCCACAACTGTGCGCTTCTATCTTAGCTTTCTACCTCGCACAGCAAAACTGTGGAATGATCTGTAGTCGGCGGTATATCCGAACCGATACGACTTTCAAACCTTCAAGAAAAGAGCGAATCCGGGCGGGAGAAATCATTCGGTGATTTTCCCCCCTTAAAAAAATTCCGCCATATCACTGGTTGTGAAAATAATCGCGACCAATGACGTGGGAGAACGCCTTCGAACACTTCGGAAGTCCGATTTCTTATAATACAGAGGCCTTAGTACAAATTTGTTATACGTTTGAAGTAAACGTAACGAGTACGCGTTCGGCGCTCTGAGGCCTTAGTACGAGTTTGATTTGCGTATAAAGTATTCGAAACGAGTTCGCGTTCGGCGCTCTGATTGGCCGGCGCCAATGAACTAACCAATCAGAGCGCCGAACGCGTACTCGTAACGATTACTTTAAACGAAAAACAAACTCGTACTAAGGCCTCTGATTGGTTCGTAAATTGGCGCCGGCCAATCACAGCGCCGAACGCGTACTCGTTTCGAATACTTTAAACGTATAACAGACTCGTACTAAGGCCTAAGAATAACCCAGCAGATGTCTATAATGTACTGACCGAAGCTTTGTCCTGGTATCCGTTGCAGTCCAGGTCGATAGCTGCAGGCTTCATGGACGGAGCGTCCGACGAACCTGGGACAAACAAACATACTTATAGACAAAGTAACTTTTATGATATATCAACTGCCTCGTTGGCCGAGTGTTCTCAAGTGCGACTGGGTCAAGGGGTCCCGGGTTCGATTTCCGGGTAGAGCAAAGTATTACTAGGTTCTTTTTTTAAATTTTCTCAGTAGCAGCACGGAGTGGTATTTTGCCCGGGATATGCGTAGGTCCACCGGGGGGTGAACATATTGCCATCTCCCGGGTAATAAGGATTGCATGGGACTCATAACATAAATAGTGAAAAGTGGGTGTTACATTGTACAGTGGCATTAAGTGCCGTAATGTAGCCGCGGAAGACTTAACGGGTAACCGGGGCTCCGGCTCGAAGTGCAGGAGTAGGAACGGGGTGGTTTTTAGTCAGTAAGAGAGTAACACTCCCTCCCGCACCATCCGTACGAGAGAAGTTATTCAATGACTTTCCCCCCTCAAAAAAAAAGTGCTGTAATGTGCACCTCTGCCTACCCCTTCGGGGACAAAAAGACGTGATGTTATTTTATGATTAATAATTATCTTAATGCGCTTATGACTTACATGGATCGTCCAGCTCAGTCCACTGGTCGTCTGAGTCGGAGTCGGCGCCTACGTCCGACGCGTCCGACACGACTTCCACCCGACGCACGCGCATACACACTGCGCGCCGAGCCGCTGCACTGCGTCGACGTGACATCTGGTGACGAAATAACGAACTCGTGTTAAAAACTCCAATCATTCACAGAACAAATTGAATGTTATTTCCACAGTGTAAGGCACAATGTTTTCGGATATTTAAAACTAGTGACCTGCCCCGGCTTCGCACGGGTGCAATATGCATGTATTATGTATGCATATTATAAACCTTTCTTAAGAATCACTCAATCTATTAAAAAACCGCATCAATATCGGTTGCGTAGTTATAAAGATCTAAGCATACATAGGGGCAGACAAATAGCGTATACTATGTAGTGATGTAGATGCGCGCGCACTAATGAGAGCGATGTGAATGAAGTTACATTTCAATTTGCTTTGATTGCACTCGTATAAATTGACTATTATATATAAACCGACGTGAAGCAACGGTTGCGTTGTGTTTCGTCGTGTGAGTGAGGTTACCGGAGGCCCAATCCCCCTCCTCCCCTTCCCCAATCTCCCAAATCCCTAACAATCCCCAAAAGGCCGTAGTAGCGCACTTGTAACGCCTCTGGTGTTCCGTGTGTCCATGGGCGACGCCGATTGCTTACCATCAGGTGATTCGTTTGCTCGTTTACCGGCTTATGCAAAAAAAAAAAAAAGATTCTAACACAATAGGTATTACTAGTGCGTTTCAGGTATTATGAATCCTTATTTTAGTTTATACTTTCAAGTTTGTTGTTAATACGGTACAATAAGCGTTTTATAATGTATTAAACCCTACCTCCTTCCCCTTAGCGATGGGCCGCCGCCTCGGTGCCCTCAGGGGTCTCGAGTTGCGCCTCGGACGACCCCCGCGACCCCCAGACCACGATGATGACGATGATCCACTGCGAGAACCACGGTGGCCCATCTGTGAACAACAAAATAATAATTTATTACAACTATACAATCTATATGCATCGAGCATTTCTTTCTTTATTGAAACAAAGAGTTTCCTTTTTCTTGTATAGAAGCACTATTTTTATGGATTGTCAGTATGCATATGTGTTAGACTGACTGATCTGATGAAGATTTTTTATTTTTTATTTTAGTAAGTTATTAGTATAATGCGTCAAGCGTGTCTTTGCATTGTTCTTACATATGCGTACAGTACTGAAATATGTATCAGAGACATTGTAGAACATACTTTTTTAAAAGAGTAACGAATGGAGTTTCTTGCTCGTTCTTCTCCATTCGAATCTACGTTTTGGAATGAGCACCTAGCTTCACCTAGCTTCACTGACGGACTGACTGACAGACTATTATTTATTTTGTATTTGTTGACGTTTCAAAAGTACCAAACTATGGTTTAATTGAAATAAATGCTTTGACTTTGACTTTTATGTCGCGGAGAACCTAACGGGTAACCGGGGCTCCGGCTCGACATGCAGAAGGAACGGGGTGGTATTTATTAGTCAGTGAGAGTCTGACACTCTGACAAAAGTACCAAATTATGGTTTAATTGAAATAAATGTTTAACTTTCATACTTCTGCGTAACCCTTTGGCAAATAAAAGGCGCGATTTTAAACAAATAACACACAAGGTTGAAGAAGAACAGATGTAGATCTGACCTTCCCTATTCACCTCAAAATGCATAATGCATCGGATGATTCAATAGTCGAGCTAAAAATATCTTTGAAATGAAGAAAACATAATATTTGCTACAAAAAAATGTAAAGTGGTAAAAAATCGTAAGAGACACATACATAACGTCACGCCTTTTATGCCCGAAAGGGTAGACAGAGGTGCACATTACGGCACTTAATGCCAAAGTACAATATAACACCCACTTTTTGATCTTTATGTTATGAGTCTCATGTCATAGGGGTGAGCCTGTCGCGGAGAACCTAACGGGTTACCGGGGCTCCGGCTCGACGTGCAGGAGAAGGAACGGGGTGGTTTTTAGTCAGTAAGAGTCTGACACTCCCTCCCGCCTCACACAAACGGGAGCAGTCACTCGATGATTTTCCTCCCTTAAAAAAAAAGGGGTGAGTCTATTACCGTGTACCTATTACTGATGTGTTACAATTGGGTCACATGATATTTCATTGTCTCTTTTTACAAATGCAATCGACTGCACGTTTGGCGCGGTGGCTGGGCAACCGACTACCGCGCAACGTGTAGCGGGTTCGATTCCCGCACGAGGCAACTGTTTGTGTGATCCCCAAATTGTTGTTTCGGGTCGGAAGGGTCATTGTGTATGTAAACTTGTATGTTTGTAAACGCACACACGACACGGGAGAAAATCCATGTGAGGGGGGGGACACGTTTTTTAAAACAACAAAACATACATAAACAATATTATCTTTTCTCCTCGTCCTATTCAGTTACAGTTCTCGTCCACTGCTGAACATAGGCCATCCTAATGGCAGGCCACTGAGTTCGATCTTCAACTCTACTCTGCTCTTTTTATTTATGATATAAGCCGGTAAACGAGCAGACGAATCACATGATGGTAAGCAATCGGCGTCGCCCATGGACACACGGAACACCAGAGGCGTTACAAGTGCGTTACCGGCTTTTTGGGGATTGTTAGGGATTGGGGAGATTGGGGAAAGGGAGGAGGGGGTTGGGCCCCCGGTAACCTCACTCACACGACACACAACGCAACCGTTGCTTTACGTCGGTTTATATATAATAGTCAATTTATACGAGTGCAATCAAAGCAATTTGAAATGAAACTTCATTCACATCGCTCTCATTAGTGCGCGCGCATCTACATCACTACATAGTATACGCTATTTGTCTGCCCCTATGTATGCTTAGATCTTTATAACTACGCAACCGATAAACGAGCAGACGAATCACCTGATGTTTAAGCAATCGGCGTATCCCATGGACAACTGGAACACCAGAGGCGTTATAAGTGCGTTACCGGCCTTTTGGGGATTGTTAGGGATTGAGGATATTGGGGAAGCGTGTAATTATTAGCGGGTCTCCGGTAACTTCAGCCACACAACGCTAGCGTTGTTTCACGATAGTTTTCTGTACGACCGTGGTATCACTCCGGTTAAGCCGGCCCATTCGTGCCGAAGCATGGCTCTCCCAGACTTAAATTGTGTATTCACTATGCTGTATTTAGCACTGAATAACCTTCCTCCAAAAGGTGATTGAACGACAAATCCTTAAATACTTATCTATACTAAGTAATTCAATAAAGATAAATAGTATTTTGTTTATTTCATTTTTATGTACAAGTTTCTGATAGTCATACTTTTGGGGAAGGCACTCTGAAACTTAGGCAGACACTGTCAGACACATAACATCACGCCTTTTATCCCTGAACGGGTAGGCGCAGGTGCATATTACGGCAATTAATGCCACTGTACAATGTAACACCCACTTTTCAGTGTTTATGTTACCGAGTCCCATGTAATAGGGGGTGAGCATATTGCCATAAACTGAGCACAACTCCGTGCTACCACTGAAAATGTTTAAAAACCCAGTAGTATTTTGGTCGACCTGAGACCCTTTGCGCGGCAGTCGCTCTTGCGACCACTCGGTCAACGAGGCCTATACTTAGGCACTATAAGGTTAAAAGAAAATTTAACATTTTTGAAACGACGTTATATTCAGCTTAGCATTTATATGCCGGAATACTGAAACGTTACCCAATTTTAAGTCGTGCTTAAATATCGTGCCATCTCAGTCATTTTACAAAGAATTTGTGGAGACAGAACTATACTTAAGCGCGACTTAAAATTGAGTAGCGTTTGACTATTCCGACGATAGTCATGTAAACTAAACATTATTTAGATAAATCCCAGTATAGTAACCCGGAGCCTGGAACTGTGCCCGGTATATAGCAATAGGCTCACTCCCTATTACATGCGACTCATAACATAAATAGTGAAAAGTGGGTGTTACATTGTAGTGGAAACTCCTACACAGGAGAAACTCCTAGTGTGAAGCAACATTTAAAAAAATGTTTTTCTACAAACATAGTTATCATAACATAAATAGTGAAAAGTGGGTGTTACATTGTAGTGGCATTAAGTGCATTTATTTCAATTAGGCCAGAATGGCACTTTTGAACGTCAAAATAAAAATAATATTAAAAGTGAAGCTATTTGCTCATTCCAAGGTTTAGATTCCTATGGAGAAGAACAAGCAAGAAACTCCACACTCCTGTACATTTCTGCGTACCCCTTTGGGGATAAAAAGGCATGATGTTATGTAAACTAAACAGATAAACAAAAACAACTATCGTGAGACATGCAGAATTAAACATAACAAGTTACTTACGTAAAAGAGAGAAAAGCTCTACAAGTTACTAGTCACAGAGGGACAGCTTGGTCAGCAGTGGCCACTTATAGGCTGTTGATGATGATATGATGATGATTTTTAATTATAACATTATGGATGAAACCAATAAGCATCTGGTAACTGTAACTGATAGCACTTTTCACCACTAATAAAAATCTAAATCTATTCTGCATTTAACTCTTTGAGTAGTCAGCAAACATAAATGCCATAGTTATTGTAGTTTACACATCTATCCTAAAACCAAACACAACATAACATTACATCACGCCTTTTATCCTCGAAGAGGTAGGCAGCGGTGCACATTATGCCACTGTACAATGTAACACCCACTTTTCACTATTTATGTTACGAGTCCCATGTAATAGGGGGTGAGCCTGCATCCAATTATGGGGAACAGCAAGTAATAGCAATATTGATATACTCGTAAGATTCCAAACCAAAACTTGGATGGCAATACTAAATATTCCACCAAATATTGCTCATAAATATATACATACAATGATATAATGATTAACACAGTCAGACAAGAAATTACCATTTTCAGTATCAAATACCAGAAGAGAATAACAAGTCATAGAAATGAGCTGGCCCTGGACCTTGGTGGTGACGGCAGCATTAAGTATAATAGCCTTAAGAGACAAGGTGTTGCTAATCTTTCTGAGAGATTTGCCTGCCAAGAGTAACCAGCTAGATCTGGATTCTGCACTCTTCAACTACCCAATAAATTCCAGATACAGTGTATCAGATAAATGGATAGCTTATTGTTGAATAACAGATTGCCATAGAAGCAGAAGAAAGTTATTGGAGTTACAACTAAAATCGTAATTCGGAAATCCAATTATTTGAAGTAAACTAGTTAAGTCATGTCCATTACATGTGGGAATTCAAAGCTAGGATAGGTATATATGATATCTAGCCTAGCTTTGAATTTACTAAGGTTCTGTACATGCTCAAAAATAGCATAGTAACGCCTGAATACTGAAAAGGTACTCAATTAGAAGTTTTACTTAAATATCATGCCATCCTCGTCATTTTACAAAGTAGTGTTTTGTAGTGATCAACTATACTTCAGTGCGAATAATAATTGAGTAGCCATTTAGTTTTGGGCGTAAAATGTGTTCTATTGAACATGCCCAAAAATCGAACACCTGTCGACTTGCAAACATGCCAGGATGCTTACTCTTGAAACCAATTTCAATGTCAATGCAATTTCAATCCAATAGAATCTCAATAGTTTTCCAATGTCAAAATTATACAACCCCTATCATAGCTGTTACAATAGCATTCAGATTACGGAATATAAAGCTAAACTCACTACCATTTAATTCATCAAATATCCGCGCAATACCGATGCAGTGGACGCTAGTGTTGCAATTCAAGAGTATGAAATTTTACAATACTGATGTCGATTGATCGGAATTGGATTCAAGAGTAAGCGCCCTGAAATGACCATGCTAATTTTGAACAACATTCTGACACACTAAGTAGTAAGTGTTCAATTGAAGCATGCTTCCACGCTTGAAGTTAGCATGAGTAACAGGACCTTAATAGAATTTCATAAAGCACCAATCAAATGTTTAAAAGATGATTAACTTTTCAAATGTTGATTTTCTCCTAATAAAATGAAGTCGGGAACTAGTAAGATTCTGCATGGGATAAGTTGTCATAGTAGGATACATCTGTCTACCCCTTAGAAGTATACCAAGTATGATGATATATATGAACTTTGTATTGATGTTTATAGAAGAAAGTGATAAAAATACTAAATAAATATGTTTATCCTAATAACAGTTTATTTGTTTATATCTGAAATTCTAATCAGAATCTGATGTATCTTAATAGCATTCTTGTTATCAAAAATAAATACATGAGACTTGTGAGTGAAGATGTAGACACAGCTACAAAAACTACCAAACACTACCATTCTAGCATTTAATGGAACATTTCATTCAAATTAGGTAATATTTTACGAAAGCTAACTCCATGAATGCAGAGTAACATGATTAGAGGTAATATTAAACAAATGAGAATTTTATTACAATAAGAATAACTGAAAAAATGTACGAATCTAATAACCAGGTACCAGGGAAACAGGTTTTGAAGGAGTTGACACAAACCAATCAATAAAGGTAACAATCTCAATGTGGGATTGTCACAAAATATACACAAAACACACTATACATATTGGCGAATCTAAGTTCATTGACACTTGGGCTCAGACATTGGGTTTGTCAAGCTTATACACGAGCGAGTACTCGAGAGCAGCCATATTGGTACTCACGGCTATTTCGAAGAGTGACGGGAAATCTTGCTGCGGCTCCCCATCAGCTAAGCCTGCCAGCAGACCAAGCTCCGCGCTCAAATCTGCAAGCTCTGCTCCGATGCGATCCGCGCGATCAGCGTCACCCAGCTCATCCTTCAGGATGTCTCCGATCTCGTCCGAGACCGCGGCCACGGCTGAAGCGACCTCATCAGAAGGCACTCCCTCTTTACCCAAACCCTCGCCACCGCCGGCGAATAAATCGGCACCTTCACTACCACCTTTACCACTACGGCCCAAACATTTCTCCATTGAAAACATCATTTAAGAACCGAATAACACAACTCATACGACAAACGTAACATCTAAAGTCACCGCAGGTCCTTTTAGATCACTCGAAAACAGATAACTCGGTAATTAAAAGACTTGAAACCATTTTTTCATCGGCACCGATATATCCCGAAGTTTTTGACAATACCAATATGGCGACGATATTTTTAGGTATTTTGTGACCAGTTGCAAGCGGATAACGTGACAATATTTCGTATGGCAATTTTGTTTTTAGGCCTATTTTGCGTTTTGCATTCTGATTTGATATGAAAATGTACATGTTAATTTTTCCTCTCTACGACTGTATTTTTATTTTCTAAGATATTTTCATTTTATAGAAATGTGTCTCTGTTTTGTTACATTTGTATCTCATATGATTCTTTATAAATCCACCATATAACCGTAAATTGTTTAAATAAATAGCTGCAATTACTTGTTATTATCAAAAGTCGAAACTAATAAGATTTTTAATACTTTAATGTGACACAAAGGTAACAAACAGAGTACATCTACATAAGTCGAAAAAAAAATATATACAAAATATCCTTTCTCTACCAAATACCAGTCTGTGCAAAGATCAAGGTTATACACAACGCGTGGTGATGCGATCATAATACAATAATGGATCGTCATATACATAGTCAAATTGAGTTGAATTTAAATTGCATATTAAGGTCCAGAGCACATGGGTGTAAAAAGTACCTACTCAGAAACTTTGAAAAGTCTTAACTCATTTTTAATCACTTAGGCACTGCGTACGGGATAATAATTTTATTCAGTTAGTCATTACAGATTAAAAGTATTGCGTGCTAATAATTGCTAGATTTGCATTTTGATTATAAACAAAGTAGTTATGAACTACTGGCGGTTATTCCCGTTGAAAAAGAGTTGTCAGAAAACAAAAATGTAACCGGGGTGTTCTAATGACTTAGCAAGCAATAACATTCTCAGAAATCAAGACTTTCATCTTGAGAAAAAAAAACATACTTATTTTATAATTACTTTCCTCGATCAGCCCTATTTATATCTACACAAACATTTTATTCAACATCTTGTTACCTACCATGTTTTATGCAAATAAATGGTTTTGATTTGATAATAATGTGGTAACTATTTGGACCAGGACTGATACTTTTTGTTTAAAAATATGTTTGTCCTATTCGAAGCTTATTTTTAAGTAAAGTGTATAATTATTAGATATAATCATTGCATGCACTACCAAGGACGTTCCAAATATGCTTTTTTCAACGTCCTTGTTTGCTTAACAAGGACGTTGCCATTGTTAGTATTAACTAACGAAAGATTTGGTAAAGAAATGTGGAAATATAGAAAGACTTGATATCAAACAGGCACCGAAATTAAAAGTGGAAACATTTGACAGTTCAGCAAATATTTGACTTTGACAGAATGAGGTAAATAGGTTATTTGACACAAGCCGATTCTGCGCGAAACGCTAGCAGAGTTATTTTCGAACCTATATTTATAAATTGTATATGAAAAATTACATTGCAGGTAAAATGCCGCATTGCGATGCACGCTGTAATAGACACGTGATTTTTCTAATATAAACAACACGGTTTATTAATTAAATTAAACTAATGATCAGCTGAGCGAAGTTTTCGGTTTTAATTTTTTTTTATAAATCCTATAATTAGTCTATTAAATAGGTCGTAAGTGATAACCGGAAGTAGTTGGTGTTCTATATAGTTTTAAAATTAATAATGGCGGTTCAAAATAAAGTTTTGTACGCGTTTCGTGGATGGATAGCTTTTGTGGCTTTTATGGATCTTGGTACGACCGGACGGTCCTATATTGAAAGGAGGTCGTTTCTAAGCAACGCCGGCGATGAACACCTAGACGGTAAATTATTTATTTACTGCTTTAGTATTTATAAATTAGTTGCTTCTTGGTTTAGTAATAGAAATGAATTAAATGTTCATGCTTGAAATAAAAGTACTCTACAGGGATTAAACAATGCTTTGCCTTGTGTAGGTACACCAGATGGTATTAATAATCCAATAGGAGCACTCTATGCCAATAATGAGTCACAGACCAAAGCAGAGGCATGGCTCGTTGCTCCTGGACAGATTGATATGAGAGAGAGTAAAAAAAATTGAAACCTTAGGATAGGTAGATGCCTAATTTTTATTTTAATGTCCATCTGGTAGATTATTTTAAATCATTAGACACGTAATTTATTTTCTTACAGAAACGAATAGTATGTTGCATGATGTCACTTCTATGTACAATTTATACATAGAAATGACGTTTTAGCCCCCACTCCTAAACTTTGATTCGTTTTATCTAAGTATTATTTCATTATACAAATAATAAAAAAATATGTGTCTAATATTTTTTAATTAAGTACCTAATTTACAAACTAAATAGATTTTTAATTTTCATACCCTGTTATCATCCCAATTGCTCACCATTAGATGATCCGACTGCTGGTTTCCCGGCTAATTCCATAATTATTAATAAAGGTTCTTTTATCTTTTACAGGAGATTTTACGATATCACGGATGCTGGGCATGTACTCGTTGCTCAAGGCTTTAGCCCTGATTCACTGTACTCTGTACATACACTATAGGCCGTGAGTATTGTTAAAATATTTTTTGCATTTTACAGTAAAAAATAATCTAACGAACTCGCCTGCCTCGTTGGCAGAGTGGTTGTAAGTGTGACTGCCGGGCAAGGGGTCTTGGGTACCTTTCCTGACAAAGTATTACTATGAAATATACTTAGTATAATTATACTATCAAGTTTTTTCAAAAATTCTTAGTAGTAGCATGGAGTCTAGAATTGTGCCCGGTATATGACAATAGGCTCACCCCCTATTACATGGGACTCATAACATAAATAGTGAAAAGTGGGTGTTACAGTGTACAGTGGCAATAAGTGCTGTAATGTGCACCTCTGCCTTCCCTTTCTGGGATAAAAAGCGTCATGTTATGTATGTTTAGAAGCACTAACGTCACAACGTGCTACAAAAAGTATAATTTATGATATTTACATTACATATATATTTATGTAACATCACGCCTTTTATCTCCAAAATTATTAAGTGGCATTGCGTAGTTGTAAAGATCTAAGCATACATAGGGACAAACAGACGGAGGATGGCGACTTTGTTTTATACTATGTAGTGAGTCAGATCCGAGGCCTTAGTACGAGTGTGATTTACGTTTAAACTATTCGAAACGAGTATGCCTTCGTCACTCGGATTGGCCGGCACCAATGAAGCAACCAATCAGAGGCCTTAGTACGAGTTTATTTTTCGTTTAAAGTAATCGTAACGAGTATGCCTTCGTCACTTTGATTGGCCGGCACCAATGAAGCAACCAATCGCAGCGCCGAACGCGTACTCGTTTCGAATACTTTAAACGTAAATCGAACTCGTACTAAGGCCTCATAAAAAAACGTATAAAAAATAAATAAACAAAATATATCTTTTAACTCCCCTTTTCCAGTGTGGTGTCGATGGGCTACTGGTCGCTGACACTGACCATCATTTTGTACTTCTCCGAAGCATTCTACTTTCACTCCACAGATCTGAACTTCTACGTTGTGTTTCCTTGTGTTTTGAACAGTAAGTAATTTAAAATATATATTTTCTAATTATCTTTTACTTAACGGACAAGATGACTGTCTCGTTGGCCGAATAGTCGCAAGGGTTACTGCCAGGCAAGGAGTCTCGGGTTCGATTCCCGGTTTGAGCAAGGAATTACCGGGTTTTTTTAAAAATCTCAGTAGTAGCACGGTTTCTGGAATTGTGCCCGGTATATGGCAATAGGCTCGCCTCCTATTACATTGGACTCATAATATAACTGGATACTTTCCTGAATCAAAAATAAATTATTTCTTCTGTTCAATACAAAAAAATATCAAAAAATAATCACACTTTCATTAATTGATTTTATGACCAACTTCATTTTACTATTTTTCTAGCAAATTTTTAAGAAATATGCACACTATTTGACGCTAAAAAAACTTGACGTCACAATACACAATCTCGTACAAAATTCATAGAAAACTGTCGTTTTTGACAGTTTGAAAAAAGTATTGAATTTGACTAGTTGGCAAGTACACAATTAGTGAAAAGTTGGAGTAGGTCATAATGTACCTCCCTGGGGATGTGCTGTACCAGGCGATACACCGTGGTGGCTCCGGAATCTCAGGTCCCTTCAGGGGGCTTACTCTTGAGTCCAATTCCGATCGATCGACATTTGTATTGTAGAATTTCGTACTCTTGGGTTGCAACTCTAGCGCCCATTGCATCCGTATTGCGCGGATATTGAATGAACTAAATGGTATTGAGTTTGGCTTCATATTCCGTACTCTGAATGATATTGTAACAGCTACGATTGTGGTTGTATAGTGTTGACATTGAATAATTATTGGGATTTTATTGGATTGAAATTGCATTGACATTGAAATTCGTTTCAAGAGTAAGCACCCTGATAGCAGGTCTCTTCAGAGGACCCGATGCCTCTTACAAGTGCTGAGGGTGGCCACCGGGGTGGTTGTAGTGAGGTACGAATCCCACACTCCCTAGTCTTTCTACCCAAAAACCTAGGCACCTTTTGACGGTTACCCCGTTATAAAAGAAAAACGGTCATAATGTACACTATTTACTCATCCCCATAA